AAAAAAGAGTATTTTCCTAAAAACATGGTTTGAAAACAACATCATTTTAGTAAAACAGTTGATGACACCAGATGGTAATCTAATGACTTACAATGAGTTTGTTTCTGCATATAACATAAATGTATCACCTACAGAATTTAACATGGTTTTAAAAGCCATTCCAGATGGAGCTAAAATATTATGTAGAGGCTCTTCTAACCAAAGTTTGGTTTCTCTACCAAAACTTAGTGACACACCCTGCGTAAAGTTGTGTTTTTCCTTATCGTGAAACAACAACAAAGCGATACGTTTACTTTTTCAGAATGAGATTGCCACAAAGCCTCATATCATTTCTTACTGGAGTCAATTTGTTAGTAATGCTAACTGGAAAAAAATTTGGAGTCTACCACACAAGTACTTTGTTACAAACAAAACTAAAGAAATCTCCTTCAGATCCTTTCTTTTTTTTGAAGCCAGTGGTTGAAGCAAATGCAGCATAAGAGCCCCCTGGTGGCTGAAGAAAAAAATCCACGTATAAGCCACACCGGACTATAAGCTGCATGGTTCAAAGTTCAGGAAAAAAGTCGCGGCTTATAGTCCGAAAAATACGGTACTCATTTCAGCCCTAGTTTGAGGTATTAATTATCAGTTGTTGCGATGAGATGGAGTAATTGAACAAGCTGGTGGAGTTGTGTTGGCTCTTTCATGAGCCTCTAACCCCACAGTAAAAGCAGCTGAATGTGTCCGTGGAGTGAGACTGTTTGGAGCTGCCTGCTCTGATCATCACAGACACATGGAGAAATAAAAAGTAATATAATAAATCTGACAAACACTGGACCTGCACCACCTTGTAGTTGTAATAAGTAAAAAACTGAGAATGAATCACTAAAAAAACATTTTAAATTCTATTTAAAGCTGTCAAAATAAACACACAAAACAAAAACAAAAAGTAATACACAACAAACTAAGCATTATTTATTAGGAACTGCTTTTTTGTTGGTCCACCTACCCTTATGGACCGGCTGTGTGTCGTACCAGTGTTGTAGTGAGCCTTCTGGTATTTTAATAACTGTATGCTGCATACAAGCAAGCTGTCAGAAATGTTCATCAATCATAAATAATTCCATCTTGATGAGTTTTATTAGACGTGTTCTTCACCTGTTCTAACTGTAGAACCATTAAAGGAGGCGTGTCACACGACTAATGTCCTGACACAAAGAAAACCCACAGTTCTTTACAACACAATCAATCTGCAGAACAAATACGTAGCTGTGAGTGTTGTTGCCACATCTGTAACGTCTTTCATATTCCCACAAAAAACTCAACTCCTTGTTTGTCAAAATTACAGCCAAATGTTGGTATTTAGTTTAACTGGGGCCAGAAAATCCTCAGTTCTTTGCTCTTCTGTTTAAAATATTCTCCCTACCTGGATCTCCAAAATGTTAAGATAAGGTTAGAATGATGCTGAGGGGCTTCCTGTTTCAATCTGAATGATTCACAAGTAGGTTTTATTCTCTCTTCTGTGTGTTTCAAAGAATCTGTCAGTTTAACAAGGGTTTGTTTTCTAAATCTGCTCCAGGAGACTGACGAGTGGACGACACAAACGTCGTATGAAATGGGATTAGAGACGGAGAGAGCAGCACAAGAAACGCTAGAAGACCTAAATCATCAACAAGTAAGAATCAGTTTTAACTTGGTAAAGATGGAAATTAACTAAATTCAAAGTGCACTTTACAGCATCAAGAAGAATGTATTGAGTTTGGAAATAAGATATAAAACATAAAATCGTGTTTCAAAAAGGATTTTAATGACTTGTTATATTGAGCCTGCTAAAAAATGACTGCAATCGAAGATTGTTTCTTTTAAACTGAACAGTGCGTACAAGCTGAAAAGAGAAAAGCAAGAATAACAAGAGAATTGCATTTCCTGCTAAAATGCAAGTGTGAGTGCTTCTTGCTGAAAACCTAAGCTAAAAGCTACAGAATATGATCTGAAAACATATTTTATGACAAAACTTTTATTGAAAGTTCAAGTTGAAAAGCTGACAGAAGCAAAAAAAAACAAAAAAAAAACAGAAAAATGAGCAAAAAATAAAGCTTAATATTGCAGAAAAAACTTAAAGCTAAAAGTTAAAATAGCTGAAATAGCAGGAAGCAGCTGTCAGAAGCATAAATAGCTCAAATTAGCAGAAAGAAGCACAAAAATGCAGAAATTTGCAGAAGAATAACAGAAAGGTGCAGAATTTTAGCTGAAATGGCAGAAAAAGGTAACATTAGCAACAAAAGTAGCTAAAATTGGCACAAGGAACTTGAAAAGTACAACACCAGAAGAAAATGTGTAAAGTTTTGTAAAGAATTAAAACATTTTGAAGAATTTAAAGGATGTTGAAAGAACTCCATTAATTTTCAATGAGGAAAATAGTAGCTGAAATAGCTTTGGCTACTATCTTGGATTTTTTTTTTAGCTTCACTATGTGACATAGCTTGCTCCCAGCTACCAATATTTACATTTTTAGGTCAATATATCACACATTGGCTGCGTTAAAGCTCTTTGAAACATCTTTAATTTTTTTTCGGCTACTATTTGTGATACAACTCACTCTCAGCTACTAGTATACCAGCTTTTAGCTCATTGTATTGAACAATGTTTAAATTAAAGTCATTTGACATTAGTTTTTTTTAATTAGCTGAAAATAGCAAAAATTATTAAAATGTTTAAAGCAGCCAAAGATTTCAGTAAAACAGCTAAAAAGTAGCTGTAAATGTTTTGATTAGAATAAGGACGCATAAGGAGCACAAGTTTGCTGAACTTAGCAGAAGTTTTCATAGCTACAAAAAAACATGTATTTAGCTTAAAAAATGTAAACATTATCAATAATTACAGTAAATAGCTGAATATATGTGGCGAAACGAAGCATAAATAGCACAAAGTAGCATAAAAAGACCTGACAAATAGAAAAATCAAAAGAATAGCAGAAAGAAGCAGAATTATAGCTGAAATAGCAGAAAAAAGCTAAAATTAGCAAAGAATAAGCTAAAATCAGCACAAGGAAGTTTAAAAAAACGTACAGAAGAAAAAAATGATCTCAACAGTGTGAATATGGCTGTAAGTCAGTCACACTGTAAATAACACTGGTATCAAGTCCTGTGAAAATACAACCTTTTTACTGCAGATTAAAGTTTTGCTTTAGTTTTACTGCAGATTAAAGTTTTGCTTTAGTTTTACTGCAGATTAAAGTTTTACTTTAGTTTTACTGCAGATTACTGCAGATTAAAGTTTTACTTTAGTTTTACTGCAGATTACTGCAGATTAAAGTTTTACTTTAGTTTTACTGCAGATTACTGCAGATTAAAGT